TTTTCCGGCCTGAATGTCCGAAAAATTTTCATTGAAAATATTCGTCCTCCGACAGGATACGCTTATAAGCAGTTATAAATGTACGGGAAAGATTCATGGAAGATTAAAGTTTAAATACATATATTCGACCTTGCTAACCGAACGCTCCTCTGTGGCCAAATCACTAAAGGCACGTCAATCTAAATGACGGTTCCGTATACGCGCTGGTACCAAACTGTATTGGTTTATCCTCTCCTTTGAACTCTGACAGCAAGGCCGAGAGGGGGAACTAGACGTCCGGGCAGCCCTAGTTCCCCATATATCCAGCCCAGGCGGGTAGCGCACTGGAGAGGACACTCCAGCGACGTTGCACAACACAGGAACGAACAAATCAACATATAAGACGAAATTGTCTAGCAATATTGCAGGGTCAAAGGTAAAATGTGTTTACAATTGACCGTTAATTCAAATCTTTGATATAATTAATCCTCCCAATTTAAAAAATCTGATTAACTACATTTTCTCCCGTAAACATAGAAAAAAGTTTCGTAAAGGATCTACATGTCCTTGCCAGTTTTAAAATTTTACATTTAACATTAATGGTTTTATTTTCTCCTCTCAGATTTCAAAAATATTTTGAAAGTGACTACTATTTCTATAAGTAACATTAGTAAAAGTCGATAGGTGCTGATACCAGTGGTTTTTGAAAGCATTCTTGGTACTGCCAATATAATTTTCTTTCTATCTTCAGGACCGTGATCTTCCAAATACAGGTTTGAAATGTTTTATATTTATATTGGTAGTACTAAGAATATTTTTAAAAAACCTGGTATCAGCATCTACCCTCTATTACTAAATAAGTTCTTGAATATGGTGACATAGTAATTGTGAGTTCACGCCCTGAGTTGGTTTTTGCGAAGCAGCAATTCAACTAGACAAAATAAAAACTAAACGAGATATTATTAGACATGTTCAGTTAAACAAGAAAAATGTCCTCGACGAAGAATAGATACAAGACTAATTTAAAATTGGTGAGATTGTTACCCGATGAACGCAGCAAGGTACAGCAGTTGAAACGCTTCAACAACGACAAGGTTATATTTCCGAATGTAAATAATAATAATAATAACAATCTTGATTTTCTTCTTCTTTTTTCTTTTCAGCACCACCAGCAGCACCACCACGCACCACAATCATCATCATTATCATCTTGTTCTCGTTCTTCTTCGTCTTCATCAGCATCATCATCATCTCCATCACACCCACCACCCACGCCACAATCATCATTATCATCATCATTCTTGTTTTTGTTCTTCGTTTTCATCATCATCATCATCATCATCGCCACCACCACCCACACCACAATAATAATAATAATAGTAATCATAATTTTCTTCATTATCATCACACCAGCACCACCACCACGTACGCCACAATCACCACCACCATCATCATCATCATCTTCAACAATGAAATCCTCATCACGACCACCACAAAAATCATCATTATCATCTTTTTCTTCTTCGTCGTCATCATCTTCATCACCGCCACAACCATCAACACCACAATCATCATCATCATCATCAACATCATTATCATCATCCTCATCAACTTCTTCTTCTTCTTCATAGTACGTCTCGCTTGGGAATATCAGATGCTGTAAGCGTGGATGTGCTAGATTTGTCAGGGATAATGGCTTCAGAATTGTTAATGGGAATGCCGACCTACAATTCCATTTTGGTTCGTTGTATTCACTTACGTGCAAATCCCCTTCGGAAAGGAATAAATACACCACTTCTCTTCCAGATATAATTTAATTAGTAAAACTTGTATCACTAAATGCATTATTATCTAAAAAATAAATAAATAAATAAAATAAAATTGCATAGAAAGTATTTAGATTTCGGCATTAACTAATTTATCGAGGGTGATATGCCGCTAATCCAAAACAACGAAATGTCTACGTCACTTCCTTTTTATTAGCTACATTACTTCTTCTTTTTCCCTTTATTTTTCTTTTTCTTTTTTTCTCGTCTTCTTTTTGTGCACTTTTATTTTAATACATCTCAACTTCTAATATATTCTGTCAATTTTCAATAATATCTTTATTTCACCTCAGTACACTTAGAGAAACGATTGATTATTACACGTAACGTCCAATCAATGACCTCGAACCTATTAACATTGATCGCAATCTCTTATGTATAACTAATTATTGTCTCTTCAACACTTTCAGAACACAAGAATAATACAACCTTTTAAGTTTTTAAATAATAACGACATTATCATTTTAGTTATTTGCATCGATAAAACCTCATTAAGTCTTTTGTTAAATCCAGCACTTTCACAATTACAAAAAAGAGAAAAATCTTTTTTCTAGATGTTATAGATTTAAGCAAAACCTCTCTCCAGTCCCAACTGTTAATACTCTATAGAGATATTTGGCATAAGTGACGGGTTCTTTAACTAAGACGAAACCTGGCAGCCATGCAATTGGTGTCCCTTCTGGGGATGGACATTT